ATATAAATAATTTTAATCGCCGTTGAATAAGAAATGTTTCTTTCACAAGAAATGTATAAAATTACAGTACTGTATTAGACTTACGGTACCTAATTTACATACTGACAGACGATAGTTAGCGTAAAAATCTCCGTAGCGTGGCGCCACGCTAGACGGCGGAAATTATATATTTAATTATAACAAAGTTACAATAAGTTAATATATAATTATATATACAGTACCTAATTTATATATAATTAATATATAATTATATGTACAGTACCTAATTTATATATAATTTATATAATACTGTCCAGACGATAGAAATCTCTCCGTAGCGTGGCGCTACGGACGGCGGGAAAGTAGTTCGGCTTCCCGATGATGTTTGAGGTGTTTATAGGAAACTTTTACTATTTTTTACAGATACCGGTAGCAATTTTTTCGTAGTTTTATAGGAATCGTAACTATAGGGACCGTAATTATAGGGGGGTCGACTGTATACATGAGCCAGCCACAGCCCGGCACATGTGCAGTTTAGGGACTACGGCTGCTTGAAATGTTTTCTTCCATAAAATTAATCAATTCTAGACTAATTTGACTCAACATTTCCAAAACATGTATAATTTTTTGGGAATAATCCACATAAACTATGCTATAAACAAAATATTGTAAAATTACTTACTGAGTGTGCACTGTTCGACAACGCCATTGCTTAAGCTTGTTTTCGTTGTGGAGTGGCGCATTGAACGGCAGGCACGTTTCCTGATAAGTTATTTTTCTGCAAAAAATTTGCTTAACTTTGGAGACATGATTAATATGAATATAATTTTTATGGCCGTTAAATAATAAATGGTTTTTAGTAGGTCCACTGCTCATTTAAACTCAAGAGTTTGTGCAATATCTGCTATTGGTCTAGCTTCGACCAATCCTATTGCAACATGAGTCACCGATGATGACTTTTTACCGTATTATACGATTGTAATTTTTTTGCTGTATTATACGAATCCATATTATATGAACCCATTTTATAGGGGGTCTACTGTACTACACAATTAGCTTTTTCATGATGTCACATAGTAAGTTTGAGCAGGAAAATAGAAATTGATGTCGAGAATCGAGGGCAGTTTTCATGCACTGCACCCAGCATTTCCAGATTGGGATCTTTTATTGACTGAGAAAATTTGGGAATTTTTTTTGGAGTGACATTTTTTTCACTTGATCTCTTTTCCATAGACTAAAATATAATTCTAAATGTCGTCAAAATTTTTAATGTTTAAATGCATTTCACATAAAAAGTTTTTCTAAAATTAACAGCAGTTAGTTTAGTACTACAAATCATTTACTGATTATTATTATATAAACTCAAAGCAGCATTGAAGCTCACTAACAAATATTACTATCTCAAATAGTTTTGCACAAACAAGCCTGTTAGGAGAGAAACAATGGCAAACTCTTATTTGATGAACTACCTGAGAAAATGATACTTAAATTAATTAGTGTTTTGGCAATAAAGGAGTGTTTTGGGTTTAAAATTATAAATAAATTGCAATTATATAATGGACTAAATAATTTAGAACTAAATTTAATTGAATATATTTTCTGTTTTTGTTTATTGAAATTTATATAATTTGGATTTTAACAGACAGTGGCTATTTTGTTTAAAACAGTGAAGAACAATAAAAGACTAATGCCTGATAAACCTGTACTTCTAAAACAATTGCTACTTTATATTCTTCAAATGAGGAAAACAAATTACACCTAATTCTGTTTTTAAATGATAGATTGGTTTCCAGAAATTAATTGTATATATGGAAATTAGAAGATTGTTGATTTCTTAGGTTCATAACCAAAAATAACGAAATCAGATTTAACAAGATTTTTCATATAAAATTTGATTAACAAATAAAAATGTAATGATTTTTTTTTAATGTACAATGTATATGAATTATAGGAACATAAATTTCATTTGAAAAACATTCTGTCCAATTTTTATATTCATTAATGTAAGTTATACATAAAATTTTATTCGCTGTCATTTGCACATGACTACAATACCACTACTATTGCTAAAAATGCTCGGCTACCATGTTCTTTCTGTAAACTCCTGAACAACATTAGCAGTAATGTCCTGTGGTGCTGATGTTGGTGGTGTTATGAACAAATTCAGTTATTAATGGCTCAGTTCGTATTGTGGCTAGGCCTTTATAAAATTCTCTACAAGATAACATTAAGTTTATTCTTCATTGGGTAATCATTTTGTCAAGTATGAGCCTAATTTGTTAGCTAGATCAAGACAACCTTTACTTTGTATTTTTTATTAAAAAAATGTGTTTTGCAAAAAATTATACAAAAAGTTTTATATGACTTTACATGAGTTGTCTTAATGAAATATGTTACAATTTTTAAAAATAATTTTCTTTTATTAAATCAAAATAGTATTAAAAAAGTTTGTGTAAAAACAGAATTTGGTATACTTACTATGTTAAAGTTGAATGATATATAGAATCTGTATATATTGAATTTATAAAATGAAATTATCTTGCATTGTACTGTACTGTACATTAGGAATTGAATTCATTTGGCAATGCCTTTATACATGGTAGCCAAAAATAACAACATAATCATAGTAATAGTAGTTACAAAAGACCACTTTCAAAACAGTACCTTCTACAAATGTTTGCAATTCATTCTTCATTGCTTTCTTGGGTCAATCATTAACTCCTCCTCAGTCACTGCCGCATCACACACATTCATATGTAGTGAATGCTTTTTTGGCTTTGATGTATGTCATATGTTTGTTGTGAAAAATGCTCTAAAAGTATTTATTTTAACATCTGATGCAGTTATGGCTGTTAAATATTTCTCTCACTATTTCTCCAATAGATGATAAAATAATTTTTGTAACAATGTCATCTTTGGCTAGAAAATGCAGTTTGTTTTTGGAATCTGACAGCATTTATGTAAATTTTTTTGGTAGTCTTTTTTCCAACAAAAATAATTATTTTAAAATTATTCTAATATAAATAAATATTTTTAGAAAAACATTGTAAGTGCTAATNGACGAAGCCAACATGCGGACTGAGACCAATGAACAGAAGTGAATAAAAAATGGCGCTGCGAACTAACGTAACGTCATATGGTGAGTTTTTGTTTGTATTGTGGAGCAAAAATATGTTCGAATTTCATGTATCCTGAAAATTTCGTATGCTGGGACGTTTGTATCCTGAGGTACCAGTGTATACAATTAGTCTTTGATTTTGTGTCGTCATTTGTTTGCTATGACATTGGCACCAAATTGAGTGTAGTTAAAATAAAGTGTCTCAAATAATAAGAAATATTTATAGTAATGAGAGTAGTACACAAGTTTCTCACCAATTCATATTCTTTTGATGTCATTTGTAATGCAAGATTCACATTTAATAATTTGTAGATATTGAAGGATTCTCTGTTTAATAGTTTTAATTTTTAGGGAAGATCTATTTATAAATATTTGTTGTAGCTATTTAGAAGGATGCTATATCAAAGTTTGATTGTATTTTTGTTAGTTCTTTGTACATAACTGCTGGTCTTACAACTTTTTGCAACTAGTTTTGATTAGCAAAAGTAATAATCATAAATTATATATTTGTTACATATATAATTTGAGATTATTACTTTCGATAATCAAACAAATACAGAAATTTATGGGACATGATAAATTTTGATAATCTGAAAAAATATTAGAGCCTTTGCAAAAGAAAAACTGAAGTTTAAGTAACTCTGATTTACAGTTTTTAAATTTAAATTTAGATACTGCAAAGCTGAGAGCTCCGTGCGTCATATTTATTGATGAAATTGATTCCGTGGGTGCAAAACGAACTAATTCTGTCTTACATCCATATGCAAATCAAACAATTAATCAACTTTTGACCGAAATGGATGGGTAAGAAATGTTTTTTCTTGTTAATATTTTGATAATAGTAAAAAGAAAATAGTAATAAGCATTTGATGGTATATATTATAGTTTTCGTCAAAATGAAGGGGTTGTAGTATTAGGAGCTACAAACAGAAGAGACGATTTAGACAAGTAAGTTTGAACTTTTACTTATTTAATTTTGAGGAATGAAAAATACATCTTTTGTGATATTTACTTTAAAATAATTTTGTGGCTAATTGCATTTTAGGGCACTTCTTCGCCCTGGAAGATTTGATGTGGAAGTTCAGGTTCCCGTTCCAGATCTAAATGGTAGAAAAGAAATTCTTGAATTGTATCTGGGGAAAGTCAAAGTTGCGGATGATGTGGACGTTAACGTTCTTGCTCGGGGAACCACCGGCTTTACAGGAGCAGATTTAGAAAATTTGGTGAATCAGGCAGCACTCAGAGCAGCCATTGATGAAGCAGATGCCGTATCAATGAATTACTTGGAAAATTCTAGAGATAAAGTACTTATGGGTAATTGCAATCATTTAATTATCAAAAATTTTTAAGTTATAAAATTAGACTTATATTTATGATATGATCTTCCATTATAGGGCCAGAACGCAAATCACGAATTCCAGATGAAGAAGCCAATCAGATCACTGCTTTTCATGAAGGGGGACATGCACTAGTAGCATTTTATACTAAAGATGCTCATCCTCTTCACAAAGTTACTATTATTCCACGTGGACCATCATTAGGTCATGTAAGTGATTATTAATTTAAATATATTAATAAACATTCCAATTTTATTAACTTATAAAATTTGATGTCTATCCAGACTGCATATATCCCAGAGAAAGAACATTATCATGTTACCAAAGCTCAAATGCTTGCAACAATGGATACCCTATTGGGAGGAAGAGCAGCTGAAGAAATTATCTTTGGCCCAGAAAAAATAACTTCAGGTAAAATATGACAGTGATAAATTTACATCCCAGTAAAATTAATATCTAAGATAATTAAAACTAATTTTATTAGGGGCATCTAGTGATTTGAAACAAGCTACTAGTATGGCAATTAACATGGTAAAAGAATGGGGAATGTCAGAAAAAGTAAATATCTCAAAATATTTTTGCAAAAATTTCATAAATTAAAAACAGGAATAAATATATATATATAATCATTTTCAGGTTGGAGTTAGGACCTTTGAAGGAGAGCACAATTCTCTAGTTGTAGTCAACGATTTGGCTCCGAGCACATCGGAATCCATTGATACGGAAATTAAACGCCTTCTGGCAGTACGTATCATTTATTTATAATTGCAAATGCCATGTCTTGTAAAGAATATTAACTAGTGTTTGCTTTTATCACAATAGGAATCTTACGAAAGAGCAAAAACCATTCTCCGTACACACAGCAGGGAACACAGGCTTCTGGCCGAAGCTCTTCTCAAATACGAAACGTTAGATGCAGAAGACATAAAAGCAATTATTAGTGGAAAATCGTGTCCCAGGGCAAAAACGCATTGACGCCCATACTGGTTAGATGATGATTTCTATGTATATTGGAATTAAAAACAAACTTCACACGAATTCTTAGAAAGTTTGTACAGCGGAAGCTGAATACAGCTAAAATTAAAAGCAATTTCCAACAAAGATATTTTATCAGCTGTAATGACATACTTTAAAACACAACAGATTGACATAACTTAATTTTTGAAAACAGAGCTTCCTATTTATTATGTCTTTGAAGAATATAGATAAGTATAATGATTTATATGATTAGAGAAAAATATATTTTGGTCCAAAGGTAGTTTTTAATTATGAAATTTTTGATTTTAAACTTTACCAATAAAGTTTAAATATCAAGCACTTTTTTTAAGTTCAATTTTGTCAAGTTTTACTGTATTATAAATTGTTAGGTTATTATTAATTAGATGATAAATCATTTGCATGAATTTTTTTGTTGAATGTTTATTTTAGAATATACTTTTAATTTGCATCAAACTTATTCTGTTTAGAAATAAACTTTTTTTTATATTATTTGTTTTGTACAATCACAAAAGAATCTGAAAATTTGATGTTTTTTTAATAGCCCATTTAACAATTAATTAAAAAGATAACTAAGATCATACACCAGTTTCAAAAGAAACATTATCCAATATTTAATTTATATTTGAAAATGTCAAAAGCTAAATTAAAAATTCTGTTTATAAAACTATCAATTAAAACTAAACTATCATCTAAAACTAGGACATTGTTTTGCGACGGAATTGAAGTGGTGCCAGAAAGAAAGATGAGATCCTTGTACCTGCCAGCCATGGGAGACGTGATCCTTACACTGACCAGGTACAGAGACGATCGTTGCACTTGCTGACATGGAGAGGCAATCCAACAACATGAAAACAAAGCAATCAATGATGATTGCTTTGTTCTCATGTTTTGTTTGTTTTTGCACCTATTTTCAGTCACATCAGAGAGCACAGACATTGTTACTTTAATGCATTTTGTATATCAAAAACAAAATCATGGACTCATGAAAGTTTTTTACATTTAAATGGGTCCTACGTTTTTGGATTCCTTACCAAATTAATGGAAAATGGCAAAGCTTTATCAAAATTGGCTCATTAACATTTGAGAATGAACTCTATTCTACAGCAAAGCCCATAGAAGACATATCAGCAACTGTGGAACATCACATGACAATCACACAATTATTGCAATATTGCTTGATTATGCACACTTGTGAAATGACCTTCTATCTCAAAAATGAAGTCATGGACCCCCATTTTTTATTACATTTTTGGATTCCTTATTGCAATTAATGGAAAATGGCAAATTTTTATCAAAATCGATTGAACAGATTTAAAGTTTATCTTCAATTGTATTAGTAACTTTATGGTGATGATAGAAAAAGGATTTGGAATAAATGGCAAGAAGGCAAAAAGGAACAAATACAGGTACTGTCTTGCATTGACTGAAGTTATATGTAATGAGATGGGAGAAATCCATTGATCAAATCCTTATGTACAAATTTTCAAAGTAATTGATACCAAATTTATTTAAACCTAAGCAAAATCAAGCAACTTCAGGAGATTCTATATATAGTAAGTAAGCCAGTCTGTTAAGTAAAAGAAACCTTAATTCACAAATAGATAAAATTTTATTAAGATTGCCAGATATTAATTGAGGCAGAGCATTAGCAAAGCCTGTTCTATGTGCTTTACAGAATTGCATTTGTTCTCAAAATTTACCATTTTCCATTAATTGCAATGAGGAATCCAAAAAGGTAATAAAAAATGGGGGTTCAAACTGTTTTGTAAAAGAATTTTATAGTTTTCTTAACTTTGTAATTTTATTTTTCATTTTTAGTGGGTATTGTTGTTATAGACAATTTTCCATCCCCAAAATAACATATAAGGGCATCACCTGTAGCATTTGTAAATAAATAACAAAATATATGTTACCGCTAAAGCTCGAAAGTCGTTAATGTGTGCATTACCTAGCTAATCTGCAGATTAACTAGGGTGATCCGTTAAAGTTGTGAAAATTGTTCCATTTCTCAAATTACCTAGATAATGTGCAGAGTATATAGGTAATCCGCACATTACCTACTAGGCACTCAGTAAAGTGAAAATAAGATCTTTGCCATAAATAAATGTACCACAAATAGGTGTGCTTGTCGCAAAAACCAACTGCTATGAAATTCAAAGTGTCACCAATCTTTAGACTGCACTAGTAAGTAAGCACAATTGGATAATGTTACCTATGATGAGTAAAATGGCGGCTCGTCTCTGATTCCAGCAAAGAGAAGAAAGGAAACAGTGGGGATGCATGTTCAAACCTAACCTAACCTATTCTAATAATTTGGTTGGTAATAATTATGATAATTTATTAGACTAGGTTAGGTTAGAACGTGCGTTCTCACTGTTTCCTTTCTTCTGTTTACTGGAATCAGAGACGAGCCACCATTTTACTCACCATAGGTAACATTAACTACACAATTATATCATGCGATCACCAGAAAAAGTATAACTTTATTATTTTTCATCTCCGGTCCAAAAGTAGGGTTATTGTTGAAGTCGTCTTGGTCTTCTCAGTTCAGATAGATACTCAAAGTTCCAAAATTCCATAGGTGGTTATCTATATAATAATTTCCCTAATTGTATTAATATTTTAAACCGTTTGATTTTTTTAATGTTTTTTAATTGGTTGATGATTGATTCTATCAACTAATTTGTTGATTGTTTGATTGTATTAACTTGATTCTTTAGATATCGAAAATTAAATAAAGAACAATATGTTAATTTAAGCGTACAGAAACATTGCTGTTGTTTCAGCAAAGATCTTATTTTCACTTTACCGAATGCCTAGTAGGTAATTTGCAGATTACCTAGATAATCTGCACATTATCTAGGTAATTTGATAAATACAACAATTTTAGCAACTTTAATGGATCACCCTAGTTAATCTGCAGATTAGCTAGGTAATGTGCGTTAACGACTTTTGAGCTTTAACGGTAACATGTAATAATAAATATATTATATTGGCATTAATACAAAGACTCCTAAAAAGTAAACAGGAAAATTAATTCAAATATTCTGTGAGCCATCTAGCAACACTGGTTGAACAGTCACAAGAGCATGAGAATTGGCATGAAAAAGTCAAGTCTGCAGTTGTACAAACAAATTGAAAAATTGAATAAAGGGGATAGGTCCACGACAAGTCCTTTTCTTTTATTTGGCAAATTCAACCACAGTGATATTAAGATTCAGAATAAACACCCGGTAACTATAAACTGGCTGTTGCATATTACTGGTCAATTATGATGACTTGACTTACATTAACAATAGAGGTAACTGGTTATTTACCTCTGCCATTAATCTTCATATCTGCATCTTTATGTATTGTCAATGTTGTTTCACCCATATAATTTTCTAAATCCTGTATCCAGAGGTCACAAAATACATAATGCCAAAATCATCAATTGGTGATATTTTTATTATACAGTCGACCCCCCTATAAGATAGAGATACGTTCCATTCTCTAGGAATCCGCTTTCTTACGAATCCTTCCAATCACAACCCGACACGTATCAAGTTTACGGACTACGGCTGTTTGAAAGATTTTCTTCCATAAAATTNATTCTTAAATTAATTCTAATTATTTAAAATTTTTTTATGTAACATTTATCCTTTTATGGTTTTATTTTGTAAATGGTTATTGATATATTTTTTCATATTAACTAATAAAGCAATAGAATGATCTGTAAAAAAAATCAATGCAAAAATGTATTAAATGTATCTGTTACTGTGAATGACCGATATCTGGCAAATATCAACATTCTCCGGTGAATGTCAGCATTCACACAGTCGTTTCGTGTATGTACAAAATATTTGCTAGATATCATTATTTCTCACTTACACCGGCAAATGTCGACATTCAGCATGCACTGATGGTGAATGTTGAATAAAAATATTTTTATTACGTTAAGACAAAAATGCAACTTTTTAATATGTTAAAATAGGAGATAGCTTAAGTAACAGTACATGTAAATAAACTGTTGAACCTAAAACAAACAGTACATTCTAAATCATTAAAGAAAATAATACAATAATAAATTATGCGATTAACATTATACAATCTATTGATTTGTTTTTTGAAACTGTGTCCTGTTTTATATTAGACTCAACTAATAAAGGAATTTGATGGAAAATTTACCATGTGTCTTTGGAATAAAACACAATACTAGTGTTTACTACGCCACAAAAATTATACAATCTTATTTATTGCAACAACTTAAACTGTTATGGCACTTTGAATTGCACAAGAGTCCCTTGCTTTTACAACTGCATTTATTCATGGAACACTTCTTTTTTGCAATGACAGTGTATATAGCAGGGGTGGCCAACCTGTGGCTCTCGGTAAATGTACCCGAGTTCCGTTTTTATTTTTCTGTTATTATATTTTAAAAAATTATTATCATTCTGTATGTGTTTCAAAATGTCTTTTAAATTACTAACAACAAATATGAAAGACTAAGTGCAACGTTGAAACAAATTTCATTTCCGTCCAAGTTAAGAATGATATGACTCATCGAAAACTGTGCGAACAAACATAAACAGTAATCGTCCGTTATCGACTGACTCCAGACCGACTTTGAATTTGTAAACTGTCATTGCAACGGACAGTTGACATTGTGCTCTGGAGGAAACAATTTGTATCACTCTTGCTACAGATATAATTTGTAATCTGGAATTTTTGCATACCTTTTTAATACGTATTTAATTGTGGCATTTTATATTTTTAATTTAATTTTATATTTTCTCAGCGATATTTCTTGAGAAGAAATCTCATCTATGGAAAGTAACTTTTCTTTACAAATTACGAACTGATTACGGGTATAAAGCTGCTTGAGGGTACCATTTTTGTTTGCTAATTTATAAAAGTCGGAGTCTTCTATTCCAACAACAACTGCCAACGCATTTTGGGCATCTGTATGGCCATGGTCGACATCAGGGACTTGTATTCATACGGTATCACCAATTTGAACAGAAGGAAACGGCAAAGAATTTGGTGACAGACTGTCATCTCTGTCGACATCGGATTCTCAGGTGTTGTTTCAACCTCCACCAAAGCTTATCTGTGCTTGTTGACATACACTGGCGATTGTTTGAATGTATAATAATATAACCAAATATTCGGTCTTTCACCAACATATTTTGTATGTGTCGACATTCTCTAATTTTGGTCTTTCACAGTAACATATCTATACCAAAATATTATTTCAGTTATAATTAGAACTTTTGCAGTATTTTAATAATTATGCTTAAATGAAATGACTTTAATATTAATTTTCTCTGTGCAGATTTCATTTGCCGAAGGATATCTTGCTGCTGATCCTAGAACTAAAACCAGCTCAAAACTTAGATTTTTTCATTTCTTCAGAGATATTCTTGGCATTCTACTCATCCTTGGAATTCTCTTCTCCTTCATGGGTGAGCTGTCGGGTATCGGATTATTTTATTTACTCCTTTGTTTTTTATTTTTATTATTATTAGAATCCCCTACTAGAATTATTGTGTGCTTTAATTTAGAGAAGAATAAATAATTTATAGGCATTTAATTTTATTTTTGTTGTTTTTAAATCTTAAAAAGTAATCTTTAAAATATTTTAATTTTTTAAATAATAGATTTAGAAGAACTATTTAAGTTTGAATTTCACAATATCTAGTTTTGCACAAGAAAGTTTACTTTTTTTATACACGAGTTTATTTATCTGTCAAAACTATTATTATTAGACTTAATTTACACATACCTTTCCAAAAAAGAACATTGAACATTGATTTTATTGACATTGAGGTATTATCTAACTATATAAAGCTGAAAAACCGGATTCTTTCTGTCACTGTATGCCAAAAATGGCCACTAGGGACACCCCTAGCTATTATTTAACTTAACAATAAATTCAGTATATTTGATGCGGTGTTTTGCATTTTGCGTTTCAGTAGGGTATGCCATGAGAAATTCAGTATATTATTATTTTTATTTGCAGCAGGAATTTATTATTTATACCATGGAATGACACCACTGCTGCTAGAACGCCCACTAGGGGGCATCCCAAGCTACTAGAATAGAAGGATTAGAAGTATGAAATAATCTATTCATCTTAATCTTTGTTATTGTTTTTTGCCCGGGCAGTGCTGGGCTCATCTGCTGGTGTCTTATAAAACTGAAACTTCTACTACAATGCATGGATTTAACAAGTTATGTATATATTTTATCAGATCAAAGAAAGCTGCTATTAGACCCTAAATTCCAGAAAGAATGGAATATTTTGAGAAAGAATTGTATCCATGTTGAAAAATTAAAAATTCCTATTTTACAGCAGATAGATACATTTTTAATATGCATGCATTTATAAAACAATAGACCATTAAATATTAATTGATGATATACAAATTTTCACTTAAACTATCCTCATGATGAAATATCATGATATATATTTCCATTTAAAATGATTTTGTAGTTCATTAAGTGTTATTTAAACAGATCACTGGTTTTGGGATTATTTTTAGATATTACTGATAAAGAATATAAGTGACATATTGTTGAGTTGTTATTATTATTTTTCATATAAAACTTATATCTGGATTTTGATGTTTTAAAATTATTTTTTAACTGTCATATCCTAGGAGGACCATTTAGAAGGGTTTTGATTGGTACAGGAAATGAAGTTCATCCAGAAGAAATAGATGTTACTTTTGAAAATGTTAAAGGCGTAATAACATGCTTTTGTTGTAATGAAATGAAAATTGCATAACTTATTTTGATATTTAATAATGTAAATATATTTCATGTTTCAGGTTGAAGAAGCGAAGCAAGAATTACAAGAAATTGTTGAATTTCTTCGCAATCCTGAAAAATTTTCGGTTTTGGGTGGGAAATTACCTAAAGGTAACATTTTTGATATTAAATAGAAACGTAACAATAGAATTTTTTTTAATTAGAAGTAGACAGTATTAAGTTGAGAACTTTTTCTCATAAATCTGTATTAATTATATAGTTTAATTAAAAAACTGTCTGCAGTAAAAATAATTGATCAGAAATGCATAAAAACACTAATATATATATAATCATATCTATGGACTAATGACATAAATAAAATGTAAACCTAAATCATTGTTTGGCCTAATTCTGTCCTAGTCTTAAGTTATATCTTTTGATTTGAATAATGATAGTTAACAATGGCCAAAAACAATGATTAATGATTCAGGTGATCTAAGCTATCATATAGAAAAGATCTGTTTCTGTAATCGATCCTTTATCTTTGTCACTTAATATAGTTTAATTTTCATTTTTGTTTTAAATTTTCTAGTGAAGGCATGTTAAGAATGAATTTTTAAAATTTATTCTTAACATGCCTTCACTAGAAAATTTAAAACAAAATAAGAAAAATAAGAATGAATTTTTAAAATTCATTCTTAACATATGTTATATATCCAAAAACTTCATTTAATTGAATTTAAAGATGTAGATTTAAGATATAAACAGTTTAATGTGGATGATAAATTTAATTTTATACATATAAAAATTAAAAAATTAATTGAATATATGTACTGTATAATCATATATATATATATTCAAACTGTTTGACAATTTAAAGGTTCAAATGTTATAATTAACCTATAATGTAAGTTCAAAATAAAAATTGTATTTTCTCAGAAAAATAAAAAATCTTTACAATTAGCATTTAAATAACTTTTTCTAAATGTGGCTATATCATTCTGGTAATCAATTTTAAATTACAGGAGTTCTACTTGTCGGTCCTCCTGGTACCGGAAAGACACTCTTAGCTCGAGCAGTGGCTGGAGAAGCAAATGTTCCATTTTTCCACGCGGCCGGTCCGGAATTTGACGAAATCCTTGTGGGACAAGGAGCCAGGAGAGTTAGAGATCTTTTTCGTGAGTATTGTACCTTAAGAAAGATATATTGTAAGAAAAAGATAAAAGTTAAATAATTTTCTTTTTTAAAATCAAGAATAGTAATTAAACTATGAAAGTTTCCTCTTAGGTCATTTGTAATATTTATTGAGATATTCAATGAACTCTTACTAATTCACACTTGTGCTAATCTGGACTTCACTTAATCTGAACCAATGTTGTTTGTCAGTTTGCTAAATGTTCTAGCCAAAACAAAAAGAAATTATTGTTTAAAACATGACATAACTTGTAGAATTTAATATTATTACTCACATTTTAAGATAAAAAATTTTTATACCATATTTGGTGTGTATATACAGGTAACCCCCGTATAACATGGCACTCCTATAGCACGGATTCACTCTAACACGGTTCGAGAATTGGGAACATCCCCCATATAACATGGTGCTTTTATAGCACGAGTTCACTCTAACACGGTTCGAGAATTGGGAACATCCCCCATATAACATGGTGCTTTTATAGCACGAGTTCACTCTAACATGGTTTGGGAATTGGGTAAAACCCTCGTACAACATGAAATATAATAAAGGGTGCGTTCTTTTATACCTCCACATGAGCATTTCTAATTGTTTTCATGGCTACTTTGAATGCTCTTTCAACAAACAATCCATTTAATGGTTAAATTTTACAATTGGGACCCTTCTTTTGCCTCTAAAAGCTCATTTTAGAATTATAGATTCCTCCACATGATACTATTGATAGTGCAGGGGCTGCCATCTTTCTTTCACCGTCATTCCTAAATGCCTACAAACAGCAGCACACTCCCATTGCAGAATGAACGCACCCACAAACTGTTACCAGTTGATGATGCTCATGCTGAGATCATTGTATAGGATGAATAATCCTCTGGTAAAATATTTACTTAAATAATAAATAAGTATTTTACCTATGAAAAAAAATGAATAATAAATCCGATTTAAATAAGGATTTAACAACATGTTTTTTAATTTTTGGAACCTAACTCCCCTTTTCGCACTAGTTCTTTGTTTCGTATAACATGGATTCGCATAACACAGCAATTTTTTGGAACGTAACTCCCGTGTTATACGGGGGTTACCTGTATATACTTCAATTAATAAAATATATATACACATCAAATACCGTACAGTAGAGCATTGATTATCCGACTCATTTGGGGACTAGGGTTAGTCGGATAACTGAAAAAATGAATAACCAAAAAGTACGAAAAAATACATTATTAGTATAGTATAT